AAACTTTTGAAGGGGAATCCCGGATAATTTGAAAAAATCGTTTTTTATATTGTCAGTATAATGAACACATACATATAAAGCGTAAACTTGCGAACAAGCTACATGCAGTTGGCATCGATTAATTCGATAACGATTAGAAAGCGCAAGTTCAGCAAAATAGAAGCTTTTGAGCCCATCGCATATAGCTTCCTCAAGGATGAAGTAAAAAATACCCATAAAACAATGTGGCGTATTATCCTCGAACGAATGAATACCTCTTAAAAAATCACGTCTGCAGCGCACCACGTCGAAGACTCTCTCTCGTTGCAAAGTAGTTCAGTGATTCGTGCAGCGACCTACTTCATTTGTAGCATCGTGACAATTCAATCGTCGATGTATACGCGCGTACTGCCCCGGCACTGTCGACTTATTAACGAGCTCTCGGCGCAACGAGGCGAGCGGGAAAGTGAAAGAGAGCTAGACACATCCGATATCCGTGTATGCAAGCTCGAGCTTCATCGGCTTTCGAGAGACTGCACAGCGAGGTAGAGAGGGAGATCAGCGAACATAATGTACATTTACGTGCTGTACAGCGTTATAAGTTCGGGCGCAATACGAGTTGCCGCTGCTGCTGCTCGCGATCAATCTTTTTTTTCTTCATTGCGCATACGTGTATCCTCGCATGCACCGGTTCTTTTTTTTCTCCCTCTGACACACGTTACACGCGCCACAGGACTTTTTCATCGTCCTAGTTTCTTTTGTCGATGTGCGCGGCCTCGTTTCTTCGGGCTCGAGCGACGTATACGTACATATACAGCCGATGTGCTTTGTATAGCGCGCAAACAACAGAACAAGCGGAGCAGTAGCAACAGCAGCAGCAGCAGCTACGACTGGTTATATTGTGTCGGCGGAGAGATGCGCAGTGGCGCGATAAAAGATGCCACCTATCATTGTTTTCGATTCGATAATGAGACAATATTCCGAATGCTCGTACTGCGCCGCACTAGAGCCTCGTTTCATTGTGAGCTTGCTGCTGCCGACGACGTCGCGACCAACTCGTTATTATATTATGCTGTACGTAGTTCCCGAGGTACAATAATAATGAGCAAATGTCGAGTGCTCGCTTGGTTATCAACTACATATCGATGAGATTGTATATTTTATGAAAAGGCAGAGAACTGTTTGTGTACATAGTCGACAAGATGAGACTCGGTTACGTGTATGCGTGTGAACGATAATGAAATATGCACAACGAGCCACCGGTAGATTTGAATATAGATAAGACTCGGTTAAGAATTGCTGCTGCTGCTACAGCTCTCGGATCCAGACACTGGAGTTACCCATGGCGCAGTACCAGCAGCAGCTCCGAGTTTTACCTTGCCTTGGCACGTCGTCGACGCAGCTAGATAGTCGTAAAGTATTTAAGTGCAATTAAGGTAACGTTAACTAGCTCGAACGTGTACACACCATGCCGTGTGTGTGTGTGTGTGTGTGTGTATACATGTGCCGCATGCAGTATTAATCGGCCCGTGGGCTGCGCGCCACCGGTACGCGTGCAAAAAGGGGTGTTATAATCGACTCTCGGCTCTCAACACGCATAACCATTAGTAGGCCCGCTCTATAACCCATTATAAATCAACTCGACTGAACTTCTTCTTGTTTTTAATTCTTAACCAAATCCGTATATGACGCGCGAGAGCTAAGAAATACTCAACAAAGTATCGTATAGAGTACGAATATGAACGCACGAAAGTAGCTTCCAATATTATGAGATCGGATACGTATACTGCGGTAATAATTACGACGACCATGATGATACGAACACGCGCGACTATCGTCGACCATCTGCAAAATTCATAAGTATACAGGCTGAGTAAGAGCCACGCCCAACGGACCGACGTCGCTTTTTTCACCTGTACCGGGAAGTCCTAGGGATATACTGGATAAAATCGTGATGATCGTAAGGTCGAATTCGAAAAATTTTCCATGCAAATCCATAAAACTCGATTCGCATCCTTGCGATCAGCACAATGATTAGGAAAATCTTTCGAGTGGCCTTGGATAAGAGGAAAACCCATTCGTAACCGAGGGCAGAAGCCCTGGTAAAATTTCGGGGTAAAGTCCGGCCATAATCTTCCTTGTAGCTGCACCGCCGACGCCACCGTCGCGCAGCCACTCCCCTTTTTTTTTCACTAGGCTCGCGCGCCCGGTGGCAGGAAAATAGCCTCTAGCAGGCATCAAAAAGTCAAAGCTTGAAAAACGAGCAGCAGTGGTGGCAGTGGCGTGGGCGCGCAGTCAGCGAGAGAAAAAAAAGAAAAAGTAGACGACGACGGAAAAAAAGGAACGAAAGCGAGCAACGGCGTTGAAGGGAAGGCGGTTGTAGGCGGTTTCTGACAGGCGCAGAACATTCACCTGCGCGCTGCGTGGCGGTGAACGTATACCTACTCTCTCTATCTCCCTATATATTCCATCGCAGGTCTCTCGCTCTTTCTCCGGTTGTATGAACTATATAGCAGAATGAACGCGGCGCACACCTGGGCGTCGTCATTGAAACTCCACCTACCCGGGCTCTTTCCCATTGGATAGGAAGTCGCGCACTTGGGTACCTGCGCAGCGCTCGATATGTATACATGTATACAAAAAAAAAAGAGCCATCGCGACGACGCGAATTTCTTGCTGTTTTATTATATCGTCAAGAGGCGAGCACGGAAAAGCCTAGCTCTGCGTGAAATAAGCTTTTTTTCTGCTGAGACACGGTGCGCTCGCGCGCGCTTCTCGTCCTTTTTTTCAACGGATTTTTGGGATTTTTGGCTTACAGCTCGTCGAGAGTGTACTTATGTTTGCACCAATAACTATTTTACTTATATTTTAGTCATCTACGTGGACGATTCGTTTCTTTTTGGTAGTAATTTTCAAAATTTTTCCGTCCAGTGTTTTAAATTCTTGTACATTTTTTATACGGCTAAAAAATATTTTCATTAAAGTTATTCTAAAAGTAGAGAAATAGTATATTTCTCAACGGGTGCACATATAAACTCGTTACATATAAAGGCGTTACTCGCCTTCGTCTCGTGCTATAATCCCTCGTTTTGCTAAAAAACCATATCTGCACCAGTTTGAGATACTATTTTTTCCTACGAGAGCCTAAAATTAGCGGCAAAGTTGCGTATTTTAGGTTAGAGTGGGAAAAAAGTAAAAAGTAAAAAGTTTTTTTCCCCACTCTAACCTAAAATACGCAACTTTGCCGCTAATTTTAGGCTCTCGTAGGAAAAAATAGTATCTCAAACTGGTGCAGATATGGTTTTTTAACAAAACTCGTTACAGCACTCGCCTTCGGCTCGTGCTATAATCCCTCGTTTTGCTAAAAAACCATATGTGCACCCGTTGAGAAATATACTATTTCGCCTTCGGCTCGCCTTCGGGTCGTGCTATAATCCCTCGTTTTGCTAAAAAACCATATGTGCACCCGTTGAGAAATATACTATTCTTCCACGTAGATGCATTCAATTTCATGTAAAATCATCAAAATTAAAATTATTTCAATTAAATTTAAATATGCTTTCATGAGTGATTTAACATGATCATTAGAATTGTAAAACGTCAATTAAATTGAATTCATTAATTTGAATTTAATAACACTATCGTTAAGGTGGTTCTTTCAATATTTGTTGAGACATGAGACCTACCCTATTTTATAGATTAAATCACGCTGAATTCAATGGTATAATTATTTATGGGGCTTACGCTGCAAAATCTCGAGATATTTTATCTCAAAGTATGCTATTTTAACATGGGAAGCATAGAACGGCCACCATTCATATGGTATTTCTAATCAAAACTTAATTTGTTCGGGTATCGGAGTGTATAGGTTTTATAGAAAAAACTCTCATCTTTCAGCCTGTGTATCGTAAAACAGGGCTTACGCTGCAAAAAATCAAGATTTTTCACGTCAAAGTGAAAAAAACGATGTTTTTGCTATGAATCAGCTGATGTCAGGCTGCGCAGTGCTTACTGCGCATACAAAATATACAGCTCTAATCAAGAGTTCACTATAGAAAAACTTAAACTGAAAGAACCACCTTAATGTCTACAATTAGCGATCCTTCGAATTACGATGCATTTTATTACCAACAACGGTATTGATTTTCAAAAATCTATTACGAGGATCAGAAAAGTCTTAGTTAGTCTAGACGCAGCCCACAAAATTAATACAAAAGATAGTTTTTTTTAAATATCACTGTACATTATAATTCTTGCAAGAGAGTGATTACGTACGTATGCTTGGATCATAATACATGTATTAAGTACATTTACGCACAAATGAAATAAAAGATAAATTATGTATACACTGCAAATAAAAATTCAAAAGAATTAGAGCTATTTTCACTCGCATAGTAGTAATGGAGCGGTCTTTATATTTTGGATCGGCAGCCATATGTGGGTGATTATTAAAAAAAGTGAATTTTGTACGGTCTGGCTTACACAGGGCGTTGGCAGGCCAATTAGACCTTTTAAGCGTAAGGCTTTCATTTATTCTGTACATAACTTACTTTTTATACTTTTTTGATAAAAAAAACCACGCGGAGAAAAAATGACGGCATCTGTGTACGACACAATTTCGTTGCCGAGTAACTTGACTAGCTGACACTAGATGTCTATTATCGAGTACCCGCAAGTGGCGAGAAATTTCTCTCAATAGCTATATAAGAATGATGCTTGAGTCTACATTCGTTGAACTCCTTTGGATATAACACTTCCAGATACTGCAAACCAATGCCATGGTAACCCGCAGAAAGAACGACAATGCATATCATTAATAACGTCACACGTAGATGATAATGATATCAATGCATGTCGATCAACAATATAACTTGCAGTGGTCTGAAAAAATTTCAGAGTGTATAAGGCGAAGGGGATCAACTTTTGTAAAATTTTGTAAAAGCAAGATAAAAGTTTTAAAAACCATGTTTTGACTTATACAATTATTTTTATTTTGCCACTTCCAGATATACAGATACAAGTACTCGCAATCTATCGGTAGAAACTGGCTTTATTGTGAATGACTTTCAATCACAATTTTTACTTATCCGCTTTCAATTTAAGGTTTATTTTGACATCGAGAGAATCGATTCGAGAGAATATTAAAAATAACATTTCTGGCAAGCTCATAATAATTAATAATTTAAAATCGATAAAAAAATGTATTTTCGTTCGAAAACCCGAGCAGGAAATTATTGAAGTTAGCGTAATAGGAAAAAGTTTTATTACCAAAATTATGACAGCTTCTTTTTTAAAATGACATTTACGTTTGACAAAATGGAGACTTGTCATTCGTTTTTACATAATAAGTATTTACAGTGTCTGGTTGAAATTGGAATTTTTCCGTATTCATGCCCATTTCAGGGCACTCGACTTCTTGACAATCTGGCAATTCGGGTACTTCACTAACCTCTTCAACTTCCCAAGGATGCCCAAGAAAATTACATTCGTCGGTTACATCCTGTCCGATTGATTCTATGAACATGTCGAAAGCCAGTCGGTGATTGCAAATGGCACCGTGGATCAATGCTTAAATATGGAATAAAATTATTAAAATATAATCAAATGGTCATTAGTTTTGTTTAACGTATTACTTCTGTTATATATTTTATAATATATTACCTCTAAGCATTATCTGAAGATAATGGCTTTTTTTCAACTTGTTGCTGACCACCGGATCTTTTAATAGAGTTCCCTTGCAAGCTGGCTGCGTCAAACCACCGTTAACGTAAAAATCGACCGTGCCTGAAAAAAAATCTCTTATGGAGCTCAATTCAATTTTCGAACGTATCGATGCATACCAACAGGTTCGAATAAGCCAAAAGCCACGTGATCTTCGGTCGAGCCATCTGTGTGTATGACGTCAACTAATTTCGCGTCATCCCGGCGCAACCTCAGTGGGAAATTCACGGTAAAACACGGTGATGCCGGGTCCAAGGCCGTCACGCGTGGAATCTCGTAGTGGTACTGCTTTTTAAGTTGTCGGCCCATTTGACCACAGGCGTGAGCCCCGAGGCTGTGACCAATGCAGTGAATTATTCCAATTGAATTTTCGCCGGTAGAATCATGGCCTAAACCGAACAGTCTCGCGAGAAACCTGTTGAAATTGGATCGCCGATTGTATTCATAAGTTGAAATTTTTTCAAATAATTAACGAATATCTCACTTGCTCATTTGTTTAGCAACGTGCTTTGTATTCTCTACAGCATTTTCATAGTACAATAAATTATTACTTCCTTTCGACCAGTCGACTTCAATAATATTCATACGATCATCCTGCAAATCGAGAAAATTTTTAAAGTTAATTAAAGAAATTTGAACGCAAGATTTCCACATTGTCCCATTATTACCCATTGCAGCAATTTCGATTTAAGCTCGTTCATTTTGTGAACGACGAACTGGGGCACGAGCCCGTGTATGAGAACCGTCGTTCTTGCTGACGTATTGAAGCCGACCTCTTTAATGTCTATGTGGTCCACATCGCGAAATACCAATTGTTCATTTTTATGAATGATTCGAACGCCGACGACAGTGTCTTCGTGTTTTGAATTGGTGAACCACTCCCACCAGCTTACCGGATGCCAATCACTTCGGCTACATTCCAAGGATGACGTCTGCGCTATCGCAAGAGTCAGAATAATTATTACACGTATTGCACTTTGCCGACGATTCGTTAACATTTTCAACTTTTTATATAAATTCGATCAAAATTTCATGAGAAATTATTTCAAACCGATCTTTAAGTGACGAAAACTCTCTTAGACATTTAGCATTACTTTAAAATTTTAAAAAAATCGTGTTGAGCTGTTGTAAAATACATAATTTTTATTGCTTCTTTTATTGCTTGATAAACGTGCGTCACTATTCAAAGAAACAAACATGCATGAAATCGCTTCACTAGACATTCCGTAATTAGCTACTGTAGGAAAAAAGAAAAAAAGTAATACTTGAAAATTACCGATTTTTTAATAATTCAATTTCAGCCCACAGCGGTCGGTAAGTTAAACGTAGAAATTATTTACGAATAAAAGCCGGTTCATGAATTATACGCGCCTCTTAAATATAATTACTTACACAACGGAAATATATTCACTTTTATTTTGAGACGCGAGCACTCGAGTAAATTATATTCAACGAGCGGCGCGAGGAGGAGAGCTATTTCGTGTATACCACGCGCGTATACACGCGTCTACGTGCCAAATACTAAATGGAATTCAGAAACTTGAGGATGCGTTCATCCCCCTCTAAGAAATCATAAGAACGAAGAAGAAGAAAAAAGAGAGAAGACGAGAGAAGAAAAAAGAAGCAAACAAAAAGACTTGTTTAAAAAGGAATGTAATAGAAAGGTATAAAAACAAGATGAGAAGATTAGGGGAGTTACACATTAAGAATAGTAAAACGCTGTCCCGCGGGGGCGACGATGGTGGTTGTGGCGGCCCAGGCCAAGATGCACCAGGTGCGGAGTTAAATCGCGCCGGCTTAAGGACCGTGGAGAGAGCCGCACAGCGCGCGCACCATCGCATGGCATATCTCGCTTTGGGCTTTAATACAACGAAAACAAGAAGATGAAGAAACTGGAAATTTTCTTCGCGAGATTGTGTGTGGGAGAGAGAGAGAGAGAAAAAGAGAAAGAGCGACAGAACTGACAAGTTGAGCGAGATTTTTTGAAGAGCATTACGTGACTGCGCCGGAGCGTGTAGCAGAGAGGAAAAAAATCACGTCTGTTCTTGATTGTATCGCATCTGGATCATAGCTGTCAAATTTGTATCAAAAATTTAATTATTACGTTCTGGCTTTCCTCGAAGAGCGTCGAAAAAAGGGAAATTCTTATTTTCGCGCGTCGAGCGACTAATAAATAAAAATTAAATTAAATTTTTTTCATTTCTCCAGTAATTCAAGAAATCTGCTGCTATTTTGATAGACAGGACACGATAAACTTACGACACGTAAGCAAGTCCATAAAACAAGCCTCGGCTGACGCGCGTTCCGAGCTTGTAAGTATACCACTGTACGTATATATAACGCGAGGTGCCGCCGCGAGCTGTTGTTCGAGAGAGCACATCGCACAACACATATACATCTAAATATCAACAAATGCGTACGTGGCGACGACGACGGTCATATAGCCCTTCTTTTATCCCGAGCTCTTCGATGCTGTGCTGTCGCTGCTGCCTGCATAAGACGACGTGGCGGCGGTGGCGCGACGCGAAATTTGTTTGTCCTGTTTTACGACTGAGCCACAAGCCGCTCTCCCATCGGCCCCTGTCTTATTGGATTCTCTTCGCCTGCCACAATATATGCGAGGACACGATATAGATTCAACGTGTGTGTGTGTGGCTAGAGCTAAGTGTATATTCGTTTTTTTTCTTCCTCTTCTACTTCTTTCCACTCGACTTTTCAACACGCGCTGAGAGACGCCTAACTTCGACGTATATCCTGCATGTGTGTACGGGTGCGTGGGTGGATATGCGACGAAACACGAGTATTCGCTTTTATTTGGCCGAAGAGCTTTTCTCTCTCTCTCTCTCGTTCTTGCCTTGCACACACGACCCCCGCACACATTTCGGCACCGTCTATAGGTGGTACCGAGGTAATGTAAAATTTGTCCTCGAGGCTATTCAAATTTTGCACGTATCGTGATCGATAGCGACGTAAAAAACGCGAATTTCTCGAATAAAAAGTCGCGCTATATGAAAAAAGAAACTTCGAGTTCGCGTAATATTTCACGATGGTAATATATCAAAATATACACAAACAATGCATAATCAGTACAGCAATTAGAGTTGTCTTCTATCTCTCTCTTTCTCTCTGTGGGCGCAAAACGCATCTGACGCCTCTCATCTCGGAGCCTGGGAGAAAATCTAGTTATACCTCTGTGCGAGCTTGCGAGAAACTACGGAAGTAACTAATACGAAGAAGCATATTAATCATTTCTGAAATCCCCCGAAGACGTTATGTATGCCCGCATGTAACCCAGCCCACGTGTATGCGTAGAGCTGTACCGAGATATATTCATTAAAGCTGAATATACGTGTATGTGTATCTGTGTGCGTATAGAGATACTTACAAGAAGGGACACCGCGTAAGCTCGCGTGCGCGTAAAGTTGCAGGTCAACGTAGTACGTTTATATGTATGCAAGAGGCGCGAGGACCTGTAACTTGGATTAGCCTGAATATTTCAAAAGACAATCATCGAAGCGAATCCTTTTAGCTCGCGTAAACAAATCTTGAGTATTTTATGATGACGAGCGTTATGGCATTCTTGTAATACTATAAAATCCATTCTCGAGCATCCACTACTAATAACAAAATAGAACCTTCGGATAAAAATGTTCAATAGGACGTGCTTCACTTATACAATTATTGTTATTTGCCATTTGCAGATTTACAGATAAAAGTATATACTCACCATCTAGTGGAAGAGGTTGGTTTAAATTACGATTGAGTTTTCGTAACTTTTTTAATCAATTAATGAAAAAACAACTATTGACACATTTGCTTTAAAAATAATTCATATGATTGAATGTTCTTGCATTTTTGCAGTTTTTGTGAATCAATGAAATCAGTACTGACAAGTAAATGTACTGTGAAGTATTTCATGGAATAGTATCTGAGATAAAATTCAGTGTCACTTTACTTGTAATGTCTGATTTTACTTAATATCTGCCTTCTCCAAGCCGGATCGTTGCTGTCTCAAAAGTTTTGTAATAAAATTCTTTTCCACTTAAGTGTAGCAGATTTTTTATTTAGTTATTTTTTTAATCTACTAATCTCCAAATATAGCAATAAGCGTTATTAAAATAGCTATTTTTGTCACTTTTTTTTGTACTTTAGAATGAAAAAAATTTTCCAAGCCTTTTATTTAAATTCTTTTACACTTAAGTGTAAAAAGAATTTTATTACAAAACTTTTGAGACAGCAAGGATCCGGATAGGTAAAAAATTACATTCAAAATCATGCGGTCAAAGACTTAAAAATCACAAGTCAATATACTTGTTTAATGGATGATTTTCAATGATAAGAGGAACAAGAGACATATTTTTTGTTGTAAAAGGACCTATAAAAACATATTTGTACATCAGAAACAAAAAATTTCAATAGTAATCCTTAATTTTCATGTTTTTCATTTATAGGCATAAACACAGGTGTGTCCCCTTAATCCTTTATGACTTAATCTTTTTTTATCAAAATATTATTGATTGTATCTTATTTATTCTCTTAGTTTGGGTGTTATTTTAATTTTTGCTTATACTAAAGCCAGATATTATTGTACATGTGATGATAAAATAAATTAAAAGTTTTAATTAGTTCTTTGAAAAAATAAGTGAAATGGTAAATCAAGATTTTTTACACGATAGAACCATACATTTTACACATAATAATATCAGATTCCAATACTTGAGTAGTACACCATATTAATGTATGCTTCGAGTCTCCGGTTTTACTTTTTGTATCCTTCTTAAATTTCCATTAGTATCACTGTAAAAAATGTTCTTATTTTTAAGGCTTTTTTAATTTTCATCTGTACATAAAATTTAAGAATATTACGATTAATTAATAATTAATGTTGAAGTTTTTTAAAATTTATAAAAATACTTCATCGTGTATATAGGATTAAAAAAGGACTTTACGTAGCGCCACCGAGCGAGCAACACCGAGTGTGTGCAGCTCCGTGAAAATACTAAATATTTTTGCAATTTTAAGAGAGTATCTTGAAGAAAGAGAAAGGAAGCATAGGATAGAAAGGTAAAAAGAAAGCAGAAAAGTATAGAAAAGAAAGAGTACGAAAGGAAGTCTGAGAAGTGGAAAGAAAAGCGAAGAGAAAAGAAAGTAAAAAAGCAAGAGGTTAGGTCGGATGGCGGGCAGAGGCGGTTTGAGGTCGGGAAACGCAAGGAACAAGGAAGACTTAGAAAAAGAAGAAAAGGAGAGAAGGACGAAACAAAGCATATTGGTCGATCAAAGGAAGAAGGACCTGAAGAAACAACCGCTGATCTCAGAAAGCCTGAAAAAAACAGTGAAATTTCAGGAGACGAAAGAGAGGTTGGAAAGGATTGGTAAGGTAGTTGGTAAAAATACCGACAACAGAGTGCAGGTCAAGAAGGCGACGGCAGGTGGCGACAGCAAAAAGAGAGAGATGGAGAATACGACAGCAGAGGACGGCGAGATGGCTGGACAGAGGACAGAATGGGAGGATAAATGGATGTGGATGAACGAGGAAATGAAGAAATTGAAAGAGATGGTGATGCAGGGGATGGAGAAGAAGAAACAAGAAGAAGGCCAGATAAAGGAGCTGAACGAGCAAGTGCAAGGATTACTGCTGAGGAAGAAAGAAGAAGAGAGGAAGAGAGAAGCTGTAGTGAGTGAAAAGGCAGTATATAAAGAAAAAGTGGAAAGGTTAGAAGGAAAGGTAATGGTTTTAGAAAAGTCAATTGTGAGTATGGAAAAAACAGTGAAGGAATGTGAAGAAAGTGTGAGAGACTTGCAGGCGGTAGTTCTGGACTTTATAAAGGAACAATGTGAAAAGGAGGAAGAAGTGGAGAGTGAGGTAGGAAGTGTGGCAAGCTCTAGAAAATCTAGATTTAGTATGAAAAGCTACAGAAGTGCAGCCAGCGGTATAAGCGGTATTAGCTTATCTCAGAAGGAAGTGGTACAGATGAAGAGGATGGTGAACGAAAAAGACAGAGAGGAACGTAGGATGAATATAGTGATAAAAGGTATGAAAGGAGTAGGAGCGAATGTAAAGGAAGAAATAGAAAAAATGCTGAAAAGTAAATTGGACATAGAAATCAAGATGGAAGCTGCTTGGAAGAGTGGTCAGGTTATTGTAGGAAAATGTAGTAAGTGGGAGCAAAAGGATATGATAATGAGGAATAAGTCAAGGCTGACAGGGACTACTTTATACATTGAAAATGACTTGTCGTATGAGGAAAGGAAGAAACAAGAAGCGATTTCAAGGTGGGCAAAGGAACAGCGTGAAAAAGGAAAAGAGATCAAGATTGGCGTTGGTAGAGTGTGTGTTGAAGGAAAGTGGCTGAGGTGGGAGAGTGTACAAGAAGAAGAAGAGAGCCGCAAGAAGGATATGGAGAAAGAGGAAAGTGCAAAAGGTCAGGAGGTGGATTTCTAGAAGAGGCCCAGAAAAAGAAGAAGTGGAGTGATGATAGTAGAAAGGTAGTGAGAAAGAGGAGCTGTGGACGAAAGGAGAGTCGCGTCGCTGAAGAAGACTGTAAGGATGAAAAGGAAGAAGAAAGTGGTAGGAGTATGTTGTGGTGGAATGTGGCAGGTGTTTTTAACAAGGATATGGAATTTTGGGCATTCATAAAAGGTTTTGACTTTGTGTGTCTGTTGGAGACTTGGTTGGAAGAAAAAAGTTGGGAAAATTGTAAAAAAAATATGGACAAAGGTTTCAAGTGGTGGTGTGTGGCTGCAAAGAGAGAAAAAAGAAAAGGAAGAGCAAGAGGTGGAATGGTGATAGGCATTAAAGAAGAGTGGAGTCAAGGAAAGGACATAGTATTTCAAGTAATCAACGAAGGAGCAGTGAAAGTTTCCATAGGAGAAGAACTACATGTATACTCAGTGTATAACCAAGGGAACTTGAAAGAGATATGGAGATATTTGGAGAACTTGGAAGGAGAAGAAGAAAGTAAGGTGATAATAGGTGGTGATTTCAACATAAGAGTAGGTGAGGAAGGAAACTGTGGTTTTTATGAAATGGAAGGAAGGATGAGGAGAAGTAAGGACAAGAAAGTTAGTAATGAAGGAAAGGTTATGATGGAAGTGATATGCAAGAAAGGTTGGAACATTTTAAATGGCAGTACAGATGGAGATGAGGAAGGAGAATTTACATATAGGATCAAGAGGAGCATCAGTGATAGATTATGTGATTGTGAGTGAAGATGTGTGGAGAAACGTGATTGACTTTGAAGTGGGTGATAGAACAGAGTCTGATCATCAGCCTCTGGTGGCAGTTTTGTATAAGCCAGTTTGTTATAAGGAAAAAGAAAGTAAGAAGATGGTAGAGAAAAGAGAGTATGCATCGTGGACAGAAGAAGACGTTATCAAATACCAAGAAAAATTGGAGGAAGAATTGGAAAACAGAGAAAAAAAGGGCTGGAAAAGCGGTACAGTGGATGAGGATTGGAAAGAAATAAAAAAGATTGTGGACAAGGCTATAGTGAAAAAAGAAGTGACAGTGAAGAAGTGGAGGTTAGGAATGAAGAGATGGTGGGACAAAGAATGTGGTAAAGAAAAAAGGAAAGTGAAAGTCATGTATAGGAACTGGAAAGAAGAAAAAGGTAGCAGAGAGCAGTATGTAGAGGAAAGGAAAAAATGGAGGAAGCTGTGTATAAACAAGGAAGTGTGTTTCAAAGAGAAGGAAGAGGCAGTGCTGAGAAGTTTGAGGACAGAGGAGCAAGTGTGGAAATTTTTAGGAAGAAGAAAACAAGGCCAGAAGATTGAATGCAATATAAAGAGTGAGGAGTGGAAAAAAAGTTTCATGGACTTGCTTGAAGGAACAGAAGTGTGCCAAAAGGGAGAAGGAAGAAAGGTAGCAAGTGTGGAAGGAGAAAAAATAGGTGAAGAAGAATTTAACAATGTACTAAGAAGATTGAAAAGGAGAAAAGCGCCAGGAATTGATGGAATTCAGAACGAGGCATGGAATAATAGTGGAAAGCTAAGGAGTAAACTTAAAGGAATCTTAGATAGGATATGGAAAGGCGAAGAGATACCAGAGGATTGGAAAACTGCGGTTATAGTGCCCTTATATAAAAAAGGAGAGGTAAATAATACAAGTAACTACAGAGGAATCTCACTGCTGCCAACAGCGTACAAAATTTATACAGAGATAATAAGAGGAAGGTTGGTGAAGGAATTGGATGAGAAGAAAGTTTTACCAGAAGGACAAGCCGGATTTAGGAAAGGGAGATCTACAATGGACAATCTTTTTGTAATGAAATATTTAGTTCAAAAGGCAAAGAAGGATAAGGAGAAGATTTATGCAACATTCATAGACTTGAAGAAAGCGTTTGACACAGTAAACAGGAAAAAACTATGGGAATGTATGAGCAGATTAGGCATAAGTGATTATTTGATAGAAAGGATTAAGCAGTTGTACTAGGAAACGAAAGGAAAAGTAAGATGGGAGAAGGAATTGTCGGAAGAGTTTTGGACGATAAAAGGAGTAAGGCAAGGGTGCATTTTGAGCCCAATTTTGTTTTGTTTGTATATTGCTGAAATGGAAAAGAGGTATGAAGAGAGGAATGTAGGAGGAGTTAACATAGGAAGGAAAAGAATTTGGTCGCTTGCGTACGCAGATGATGTTGTGATACTGGCCAAGAACAGAGAAGCGATGGTGGATATGTTAGAGAGTACGGAAAAATTCTTCAGGGAGAGACAACTGATACTAAGTGTAGAAAAGACGAAGGTATTGATTTTCAATAAGAAGAGGAACCAAGGAGCGGAAAAGTGGAAGTGGAAGGAGGAAAAATTAGAAGAGGTGAGGGAGTTTGAATATTTAGGAGTAATTTTAAATGCAGAAGGAAATTTCAAGAGCCAAGTGGAAAAATTAAAGAAGAAAGGAATTGTAGCAGCAAAAAGTGTATGGAGTTTAGGAGAAAGGAAATGTAAAGAAGATTTCAAGAGAAGGATGATGCTGTTCAAATGCCTGGTACAAAGTGTGATGAGTTACGGAGCAGAGTTATGGGGTTGGAATGAATGGAAGGAACTGGAAAAAGTGCAGATGGATTATATCAGGTGGGTACTAGGCTTGGACTTTTGCACCCCGCGTTACCTGATAGTAAGAGAGACAGGAAGAATAAAAATGTTTAGGGACTGGATGAGAAGAGCAGTAATGTTTGAAGAAAAATGTGCAAAGGCAAGCGAAGAAAGACTGATAAGGATTGTCTGGGAACAGCAGGCAAGGGAGGACGTAGATATGGAGAGGAAAGCAGCTTTAGGAAAATTAGGTCTAAGCTATAGGTACGTGGAGATGGAAATTAGACAAGGAAGAAAAATTGAAGAAGAACTTGAGAGAAGATTAGTGGATATTACAAAACAAGAAGTGGAGGAAGCAGTAGGTAATGCAAGGTACAATAAGGATTATGTAAAGTGGAAATGTGAGGAGAGGCCAAGATACTTAAGGACATATAGGAAAGGTATAGACATCAGGATCATGGCAAGAATAAGGTGTGGAAATTTTGAGGAGAGGAATAGGTACTGGGAGAAAAGAGAAGGAAGATGCATATTGTGCGAAGATAAGGATAGCGGCTTAGTACATGTGATGAACAAATGCGTGGAAGTGAAGAAAATCTACAAGAAAACAAGCGAGAAAGTATGGAAGTTAGAAGAAATCACGAGCTCGGAGGGCAATGGTGAGATAGTAAAGAAGATGAAAGTAGTAGATAGATTGAGGAGAAAGAAAAGAGAGGAGGAGGTAGGATGTAAGTTATAATGTATAGAAATGTATAGAAATGTGTGGAAATGTGTATGGGTATAAGTTTAAACAGTATTATAATATCTATTGTAGTAATGTTAGGGAAACAGTATTAGTGTACTTGTCATTAGTGTGTAAAGTATGTGTGTGGTTGTGTGCAGGACGAGGAGTAATGAGGATGGATGTTGAAGTGTGTAAGTAAGAAGGTGTGGACGAATGTAAGTGTAGCTGTAAGAGTTTTTTTTGTTTTCTAATTTTTATTTTATTTTATTGTATTTGCATATATGTAGGATTAAGAAATATTTATGTAATTATTGTTTGTAAAAATATAAAAATGTAAAGTCCATTTCTGGGCCTAATAATTGGCTGAAATAAAGAAATTATATATATAGGATTAAAAAAAAATTAAAGTGTAAACTCTTAGACTTACTTCTAAGAGTAATTTGCGTTGCAAGAATCTTTATTCTCTGGTACCAGAGTAATCTGTTAGCTTATTTAGGTAACTAATGTTAACTGAAGCCCACTTGTTAAATTTACAACCCGCCTTTTGCAATACCGCACCTATCTACGAACTCATACTTCCCACTTTGGCCACACATGGCTACACAGCTCAGAGCGCGTACCTTCAAGTGAATTAACCTTTCCAGGGTTTAAGATAATTCTATCAAATATCATAATTTCATAATTCTAATGTCATAATGGTCTATTGACTCACTTGAAGATTTATTAATCTTCAAGTAAGTTAACCTCGCCAGGGTTTAAGAGATGGGTCAATCTAATGTCTGGCCATAAGTGAGTATATTGATTCATTGTGTGGGCATAAATCATTATAATTGTCGTTTTGCTCATAAAAAACTATTCTCGGGTAAGATTATTATGCTATCGAGATGTAGATCAAACTAAACATTTCACACAGGAAGGTATGACAGGCCATCTGTCTCACTCCTACGCATACCGTTCTCAGCCGGACTATTGGAAATAGATGCATGATAATATATTAATTATATGCTAAAAAATATTCATACTATCCTCAAAAAATAAAAATTACCTTATAGCACAATTGTCGCTTGAGTCCATATTTATAACTTGAAATTTCGTTAAAGATTAATTTTTCTGCAGTGATTTTACACGTCAAACTAGCTACTTTATATTCAATAATATTTGCAAATCATGAACAGAGAATTTGATGTAAACGGAACAACATTAAGTTCTTGCGTATTATTGGAGTAATTGCCCTATCGATCTGCCTTACAAACAACAATCATTTTTCTATAAATACAGTATTACATCATGAAAAAATTAAAAAAAAAAAGAAGTATTTGTGGCCTCGAAGTGCGCCTTAACTAGCTACCATTAAACTGAAATTGCAGTGCCATGTAAGCATGGAATAATGAACGTCGCGCATCTTTCCCCAAAAATTGCCAAGCTCGGCCGAAATAATCGAGGCTATAAGCGATTATCGATTATGTAAAGTAGAAGAAACTGCTGTTATTTGCAATGCTTTTCGGAGGCCTACTTAGAAGGCTAAATTATCAGCTGCTTCTTATACAGCTCGAGCTTTTGAAAAACGATATCACGCTGTACACATCGAGTCTGAACTTGGATATTCACGTTGATAGATACTTGCGTAAATATACAGCCTCGTATCCCTCATACTCTCGCCCCGTATCCGCAATAAATATTTACAACGAAGTCAAGCTTTAGGCTCTGTGCTCGTATTACGCGCTTAAAACAGCGCGTATACTTTACGGTATGTACGTACGTATATACCGTACATACACAGGAGTGTGGGAGAGCTGCGACTGAAAAATTAATCAGGAAAATATTTAGCGTGCCAAGTGTGTACACCGCGGCAGCAGCTTACATTCAGCAGCTGCCGGGGAAAATATTTAAAAGACATTGCTTTATGTATGGAGGGCTGTGCGTTGTGGAGCTGTAGGGCCACAGTGTATAACGTGATCGTATACGCGCGCGCTTACAGGTGGTAAAGATACAAGAGCAAATGGTTAATCGATTTCCATCGATGCCACTTGTAACGGCTTGTGTATTATACATGCGATAGTCGGGTGACCCTCGCGCGGGCCTCGCAGTTAGCGTTAATACGCTTGCGATGGTCGATGTACGTATAGACACTTTTGTAAATGTGTGTGTGTGTGTGTGTGTGTATGATAGATATAATAATACGAGCACTCAAGCTTATACCCATATACGTATGTAACGGTAAAGCTGCGCGAGGCCGGATGCACTTTCCATAAAACCTCGTTGTATACGAGATCACTTATATGGTTGATTCTCCTGAAATCTGCTTTTTGCATGTCTTTATGCCATATTCTTAAACTAGTGAAGATGAGCCAAAACTGGCTCGGTCATTCATTCAATATTGTTGTATTCTTCATGATAGGACATAAATATTTCAATTTTTTAGGGTCAGTTAAATTTGCCGTGAAGATATACATGCCAAATGTCACCTCCGTGGCATGTCTACATCTCAAAATCAACTCTATTTGCATGTACCATGCATTCTCATTAGCACCTGACCCTATAATAACTATGAGACCAGCTTCTATACATCCAGAGTAAAGTTTAAGTCTATTATAGGGCTTTGAAAAATGATTTAAAAAAATTTCCCACGCAATTGAAAAATGTCTCGGATTTTAATCATGCTTCTGAATAATTTCAAACATACCGCCTGCTTTGGGTCGCTAACTCATTTTTGATGTCGCTAGATACGTAAATGTCAAGTATTATAGCCCAGCTTTCGATTGGTGTAGGTTGCGGGTTCAAATTTTACATTTTATCGATGCTGCGATAATTATTCTATTGAAAAATTCACGTGTGTCAAAAAAACGGTCACCTCCGTGGACATGAATATCTCGAGCTATGATCATTCTTTTTAACCGCTCGCCCCGTCAAAAGACTCGTTTTTCATGACCAAATTTCGGGTTGTGCGGAAAATTTTGTGCGTTTCTTATTTTTCTTACATAGTTGATCAAAGCAGCGATTTGTCACCTCCGTGTGTGTCACCTCCGTAACCCAAAATAGTCGATTTTGAGCATAAAATCGGACATAGTTTTCGTAAAACGAAATCTCAAAGCCCCAGATTCAATAATTATTCATATTTTATGGTTTAAAAAAGGGTAAACTAGTTCGCGCCGTTCAATATGACAAAAAAATTTTCACCATTTTTTCGTTTTCCATACCCGAAAAAGCAGATTTCGGGAGAATCAACCATATACACTACTCGCCGACCCATGTGCTGTGGGTGTGTGTCTGTGTAAAGCTCGAGCGCGTGTATCATATATAGCCGCGCTCGAGCTTAACGAGCTTTCTAACTTACGAATGGGCATCTGCGCGCGTGTGTGTGTATTATACGTTTCTGTGCCCGCGCGCAGGAAAAGCGAACGAGGAAGGAAAATTATGGAAAGTATATTTTCATTACAAATTGTGAGAAGGTCTATCAAGTATATTGCGCGCAGCAACTGCTTATCGCTGCGGAGCGCCGTATGCAAAATTTATAATTTGTACAGATGTATATAGCCGAACGCGTTTATGTCGAAATTACTTATTTATTAATATAGGTAAAGCTATAAAATTATACAGTCGTTCATTGAAGTACTCTACTATGGATGGCCGTAAAATTTCGTCGCGCGTAATCGTCATTTAGACATCGGGATTTCTCGGGATTT